TATCCGAGATCTAAGTCCATCTGATTCCCCCAAGGAAATATATTGTAAGAAAATGCTCTTACAACCACATAGTCCAAAAGGAGCGATTCAAGTCTGGGGCGCATGTCTGCCTCCCGGAGACACACGGCTGCCTCCAGGAGACATGGCTGCCTGGGAGAGTACCCGCTCCAGGAAGCTTCGGATGGCCCCAGGAAGCTCTGGCTTCATCTGATGAACTTAATATGGATAAATAAAAAGCAGCAGTCAACCCTGCCCTTTGCTGCATGCTACTAGGCTGAGTGCAGCTGAACAGCTTCAGCCTGACCCAAAAGCAAGGGGAGAAAGGGTCCGGATTGAGCCCAGAATCTGCTCTCATTTACCCTGGTACAAACCCTATTTAACTGAGGATGAAGTTATGGATTGTCAAACTGATGCTGCTAAAATGTGGAAAAATACAACAAGGGAGCCAGCGTGGTCTCATTGCATGCCTCAAGCACCTGCTTGTGATACAAGGGCTCCTCTCCTTCTGCAGGAGAACCACGTGTCTGTCCTGTGTGCCTGGCACACGAATTTCCTCACGCAGAGCACCCCCTGTGACAACCCAAACTGCTGCCCTCCATGACATTCCCTGGTGGTGAGCTGAAAATACCAAAAGATTAGCCATAAGCAGAGAGGTTTCGCAGCTAACCCGGCTTGGGTCATCTCCTGTGACACAACTATCATATCTTTGCACGTACAGCCTGCACCTCAGATAACCCATACCCTTTAAAAAACACTGGCATTGAAATGTAATCCTTCATAACATGCAAAAACTGAGGGGTAGGGGAAAGGGGAGGCACTGGGCAGAGGCCTGAGATGATGAGATGCAGATGGGGGAAGGCCACCAGTGCGGACATTTGTGCAGACTGACATAACTCACATTACTGCCGAACCGCTGACTTTTTTTTTGATAGACAACCCATGGATTACACATCTGAAAATACACTGTTCAATTTCTGCTCTGGAATTAAAGTTATGATCCACTCCAGGCTTCGTATAGCCAGAGACAGGAGACCAACAGGGTAACACCTTCCAGGAGGAGCCCCAGGGACAAATTCATCGCAGATGTTACCTCACTCAATGTTACCTCACTCAATAATCTTTAAAAATCAAGTCTTAAAAAAGTGTTTTTCCAAACTCTGATGGATACACAGAAATCAAAGTCTGCCTGTACACACAGATAGACATATGTAAATATTTGTGCATGCTAAAATGCATGTCCTGTCTCATATCTGAAGATCATAAACCGCAGAAAATGAGCTACTTCTTTTTTGGTCACTACATGTAAACTTTGAATAGGGATTGGATATACTGAATTTGTGACTAGAATCGTAACTGAATGTTTATTGTATACCTTCTTCCTCCATTACAAAACTAAAAGCAAAGTACATACTCAGAGTGTCTCCAGCCTTCATGGGAATTCTGCCTGAGGAATGACTGCACATCTGTACTGCTGATTTTCTGGACTATTCTTGTACCATGATGTGCACACACACTGCTTTTGCTTTCAAGGATCCTTTTCTACTAAGTTCAGCCTGTGCATAAGACTCTGTATCTTGAGCTCCTCAGTGCTTTCTCCTTGGCACAAAATCGCAATGGCTTTTGAAGGACATCTGTTTATTACATTGCAATTAATTTTTCTAACCCTGCTTAAGCTCACTACCTTTTTAAAAATTATAATTTCTTTTATTTTTCTGCCATTTTTTTCTTTCATATCTTGCAAAACAAAATCAACCTCCCTTTAAAATAGAAATTTTCTAGATCTGTGGGTTGGTGCCTTTTTTCTTCTCTTTTCTTTGAGTTTCATATTCATATTCATGACTATTTCAAAATCAGCTACACTGATCGCTGGATCAGAGGAATTGTTTTTTGAAAAAGCAGCTTCAACTCTCACTGAAAGCTATGGAAAAGCTGGTATTGATTTCAACAGTAGTAGGATCAGGTCCCAAATAAAACTGCATTTATTATATTTGGCTCATTTCCTAGGATTACTTGGAACTTTGAAAGCTGTAATTCTTTATGTTGACAGCTTTCCCTCCCTCAAGGAGCAGTGCGGTTAAGCCAATCAATACATGATTAAAATAAACAGCCCCTTGATCAAACTTATGCCTTTAGTGCAAGTCTTTCTGATCTGCAGAAGAAAAACCCCTTATGTTTGGCAGCCCTTGAGGCCACACCAGTATCCAAAGAGCACCTGACTTCCTTAATTGTCCTTAACTCATATCTCAGTTCCTTCTGCTTCATCGAACAAAATATCTAAGTCTTCTGAAAAACAATATCCCTTCTTTTATGGCATATTCTAACTCTCTTCTTAACAATGCCTGAACTCCATCTAACCATATTCTCTTTGTCTTTAATGGATCCCTCTGTTTTTTCCCTGGGTGTGTGTATTTATTTAAATATCTATCCATTCTTCTTCTCAGTCCTTTCTTCTTTCTTTGTCCTTTCTTCTTTCTCAGTTTTCCCTCCAACTTTTGCCATCTCCCTTCTCACCATTTTTTATCCTTCTAAGATCGACTGGAAAATCCGCTGCAGAAAACATTCTCGGAGGAAAATGCACTCCTTCATAAAGCTACAGTCTATTCTGAAAGGAAAGCCCAGGGCTTAATGCAATTTCTTTTTCATCAGTTGTGATCTGGACAAAAGGTATCTTTTTTTCCCCACATATTTTTTTTCTCTGTGGTGTTTCCACTCAGGTTCTTCACATGCCTCGAGTAGGTACCATGTTACAGCTCTGAACTGTTATGAAATCCTGAATCTTTGCTCAGATTTCAGCAGCAGAAAATTTGCAGTCATGTAATACTCTAGATGCTCATTTTGTTATACTCGTTCATCTGAAAAAATAAAACAGCTACAGCCAGCCCAGGAGATGTGCCCAATGGGAGGAAATTAAAAACTCCCCTCCTGTTGTGTGGGTTGGAAAGGAGAATGATGATCCACTATAGTCACACTTCAGTGGGAACAAGATCCTGTTCCTAAACAGTAGGGCTGAGGTGGAGGTGATGCTTCCCAGCCCCAGAGTGATGGAAAACAGAGCCCGATTCTCCAGGGAGAGGTCCCAGGTCAGCCCTGGCCTCCACAGAAGTCAGCAAAGAAGAGCAAGGGACGCAGCGAGGCAAACTGGATTACGCTGGTCAGAGTTGCACCCTACCAAAATTTTTCAGTGGGCACAGTGTCTCCTGTATCCTTGTGAGAAACCAAGTGTCCTGCACCAGAAAGCTGCTGTCCTCCTGCTCTGTCCTCCCCTCACAGACAAAAGCCCAAGGGCAACTCTTGCAAAAAGGACCACAGAGAAAGGGTTGGCGGAGGGAGAAAGAACGAATGGAGTGCTCATCCCTGGTACACCGTACTGGTAATTATGTGTGGGAGAACATCCAGTTACCACTTGGTTTTGTTCACATGAAGCCAACTGCTGACCTAATTTAATGCCTCCGGGTGCCAGCTAACAGCCTCCTGACTGTCAATAGGCTGCAAAGAAGCACCAGCTCCCTGCTGCTTTCCCTGCGTACTCTCTCTGCTTTACCAGTTCTCCTGTTGTCAAAGCGAAAAAACATTAATTCACTGCATGATACCACCTCTTGAAGCCTTCATCTTTAAGAAAGGGCTCTTAACAAAATGCAGGAGTGTATTCAAGTGGTGGGGCAAAGTGATGGATTTCCAAATGAGGGCATTGTCAAAGGTGACTCAATGAGCTGTGCACACCCTCACCTTTTCAACCAGCTTGCATCTTGCAGTTACCTAACTTTTGACTAAAGGAACAAGCATTCTTGTATCTTATTTTTGATTCTAAAGGTCTGCTGCTCAGTGGACTGCAATTCTCAAGTCTCAGTGTCCATTAAACCAGTTCTACTGTCCCTAATGAACCACATCAGAAACTATGAAAAGACATCTCTCATCCTGCTATAAAAAAAAAAAAAAGACAAAAATCTTAAGGCTCACAAAGCTTATGAACTTGAATAGTCAGTGTTGTGTGCTGCGCCTATTGAATTTTTTGCATGTGGTTAATAATGTATTGATTCTATGTGACACATCTGCAAGATACTTACAGTGCATGTTAATGTCTGAGAGCCTTCTCTGTGCTATCATAACAGAGCCGTGCCTCAGTGCATGGTAGAGAAACAATAAAGTAGCCATTCAATGAAGCAAATGAGATATTAACTGTATGAATTCATTGCTTCGAAGTGTTTTTTTCTTTTTTTTTTCCCCTTGGGAATAAATCATTCCAGCCTCACCTGTTCTTTTTTTCTTTTTTCTTTTTTTTTTTTTTAATTACTATATTTAGTCCTAAATTTACTGGGTATACCAATGCTAGTGCTCAGTGATTTTTCTTAAGCAATCTTCTGAAGATTGCTGCGCTTTTCCAGTATATTTTCTAAATAGGAAGAAAACAGACATATATACAGGAGTACATGCTTTTGGAAAAACAAGCCAAGTTTTCCATACCCACTAAAGGCTTTGATCTGCTTTGTAACCAGGCTGTTGCCATATCTGCCTAGGACACGTCAATACAAAGACAGAGCTACTTTTTATTGTTTCTGTCCATTCATCTCAATTTAAACAAAAACCAAGGGCAGAACTCTATCCCACCTGCGGCAGCTGTTAAAACAGGTCATACAGCACCTTGTTCTCACAAATCTAGGTGTCAGTACCATCGGTGGGGGAGAATAATCCTCCTTCTTCTTTGCTCCTGTACCCGTCTGCACAATACCTGGTATTTCAGATTTTTGACAGAGCACGTTAAAGAAAGGAAGAGCTGTGTGCAACACAGCGCCGTGGGTGGAAAATGGCGGGCCGGCTTGTAGCAGGAACACAGCCATTACCCACACGCGATCCACAGTGCTAGGCCCACCACAGGCCTGTAAAGCCTGACAAGGTTACAAAGCCCTGAGGACAGATCCACGAGCTATAAAACTTTATGATAAGAGTGAGCTACTTTTGATTTCAGTCTCAATTTCTGTGGTGGCAGCAATTATCAGCAAAAATACGAGACAGTGACAAAAAAAGGCTGAAGACTTTGACGCAGGCTGAGGGGGAGCTGCAGTACTCAGGTGGATGTGGTGCCCAACCTGAGCACCACTGCACACAGACATCAGCTGTGAGAGATTTCCTAAGCACACCAAGGTTTAATTCATTGTTGTTGTTTTTCTTCTCTTCAAGGAAAAAAAAAATGGAACAGAAACTTTAAGCACATGAAGTTTCACACAGGAAATGAATCTGAAACTACTGATACAGCAGACCTAACAGAGAGGGGGGGATTTCTGTGGAGGATATGCTAAAAGCAGAAGTGACAAAGCTGATGAACGAGCTCAGAGAGTGAACATAAATTTGCAAAACAGGTCCGTGAACTGGTGACTTTCACAAAAAAAAAAAAAAAAAAAAAAAAAAAAAGCTGTGTAGACATTGTGGTGTTTATTTGTTTTTGCGCAGCTGGTGCCAGGTGCTTGCTTGCAAGGCTGGATGCTGGCATATTTTTTTTTGTGGAATCCCAGAACAGCCTTGGCACAGGCTCCAGCCACAGCTCTGTCCCCTGAAGGCAGCTGGCAGCCCCCACACCATGGCTGTGCTCATGGAAGGCACGTCAGGAGGGAGATCAATAGCTTCTACAGGCCTCTCCATGGGCATGATTTCATGAAAAATCACAAATTCTTGATCATTCCCCATCTGTTTTGATGGTCCCAGTTTGAAGTAAGAATTTTGTATTGATCACTGAATGCTTGGAAACATCCCACGATTCGGGCCGAATTCTAATCTGAGGTGTACTTTCAGCTCTGCTTAGCCACAGATGCCCTTTGACATCAGTACAGAGAGCTGCAATTGTTTTTATGTCAAGAGATATGAAAGCCAGACAGCACCAGAACAAATGCTCCACTTCTCTAAGGAAAGGAACATATAAACCACTTCTGCATACCATGGGCTGCAAAGTGCCGAGCCCACACCAAGCACAAACAACATCCTGATCCCACACGCTACTTGGACAAAAGCCCCACTGAATTCACACTGGCATTGCTGCCCGTGCAGGGAATTTCGTAAGAGCAAGGCTGACTCTAGTATAAAATGAATATCTGCAGTCCTACCTTCACACCAGTGTCACTCCCGTGGGCTACAGGCACTTGCTTTTCTGCTGGCTTTTGCAGGTAAGCATCCCCAAATACAGCATGACATTATATGAACATCATGAGCGCTTTTCTCTCTTTCTTATCTTTTCAAACAAATACCAGCTGATGGCTTTCATTGCAGGTTGCTTTTATAGTCCTAACCTGACTACTGTAAACTTACCCTACTCCTGTTTACCAGTTCAGACACAGTTCATAAAGCCGAACCATCGAGGATGAATACTTTCTTAGTGCAATTTCATGTAGGTGAAAATGCTTACAACTAGATATGAATGTGGCACGTTAACCTTTAATATCCAAAGCTGTTTTCAACATGACTACAATTGTGTTTTTGTTTTTTTTCATGTGCAAAAGAGCTATAAATAGACAGGTGGAAAACTGTTTGCAGTTCCAGCATAAATGATGGGTACGTGACGAACAGCTGAGAGAGCCATAAAAACACTCCATATGTAAGCTGATGATAGAAAGCAAGAGAACTTCCTTCAGTTTACCTGTCTAGGTTTTTGTAACCAGGTAAGAGCTATGTGAAATTCTGATAGTTTTGTAGAAGCAGAAATGCAAGTGATTCACTCACATGTATCACTTTATATTCCTCATGTGAGCATCATCCTGTCTATTGAGTCGGACTTGCAATCTGTAGTTTGTATTTACTGTAGCAAGAGTGGAAGAGAAAGAATCCCGAACCCCACTGAGTAATTGACAGTATCTTACGCTACTATAGTCCCTCTACATGGCACAACACCTTTTTCACATTTGAAGGAGCAACCTGCTACATCAGTTAAAGGAGGATCTGTACAGGGAGAGAGAATTGATGTAGTCACAAAGGAGGGAAGGCAGCAATCACTAGAAAAAGTATATGAAAGCAAGTCTGTCCTGTTAAATCTTGCTTTTCAAATCCTGCCTTGCATAACAAGGGACAAAAAATTCTTTTGATTGCCCGTATTCAGACTTTTTTTCCATCCACTAAGGTAACCTTATTTGTCAGCTTCATTTTTGACAAAGCCTGAGGGGAAATAAGTTGTTTGCATAAGCAACATACTTATTGATTATAAAGATACAGAGAAATTCAAATTGTCTGGGTAAATTATATGGAAAGAGCAACCCCATAAAACTATTGCCGTATTTCTTTTTCCTAGCAATTGGAGGTCTCTTACATTTTTTATGTAGGAAACAGATCAGTATTGAAAATTCCCTAGAACAGATATGGTGAATCTCAGCATGCTTTTGCTTTCTTTAAGCACCATTAAAATAAAGTTATTCTGACAAAAGGCTTTTTTTTGCTTGCATATGGACCAGCACATGAGAATTTGCTGTCCTGTAGAGCTCACAGACGCCCCTCTGCACATCCCCAGCTCTTTGGCAGACAGCTGCAGTGCTGGGAAGGCGTTCCCTGAGAAGCAGATGCTTTGTGCAGCATTAAGTCCCTCACGTGGCTTCAGCCACACGAGGAGAGCAGCACGTAACGGCACAGTGAGGCCAGTTGGTGACTCGCTAAATCCTAATACCCCAGAGCTCTCTTCAAGACTGCTTGAGGCTGCGCTGCTATAGAAAGAGATTTGTAGTGGAACGGGAAAAAAAGATTATCTCTACTTTTTAAATATCTATCATCCTGATATAATTATGTATGAAACTCTTTAACTGGTAACTTCAATTGGCACCTAATGAAGATTTAAAGAGATCTCAAGTGCAATTCCTGAAGGTAGTGATAAAAATTCTAACTAAATGCAGAGATACACAAATTTCACGTACTCCTCTCATCTGAGGTTACCATTTACAATTTGATTTTGATCCTCCATGAGTAAAACTTCTGTAACTTCATTGACCTTCATGAGGTCACTCCTGTTCTATGCTGAGATGAATGACAGTGGACTCCAACAGGGAGCAAGGAGTTAATGATACCACATTGCCTTTGCTGAATCAGAACAGGAACTGGGCATTAAACAGAACCATAAAATAATTTAGGTTGAAGGGACTTCTGTAGTGCAGCCTCTTGCTCAAAGCAGGGCCAACATCAAAATCAGACTGGTTTGCTGATGGCCTTGTTTGGTCAAGCTCTGAAATCTCCAAGAGTGGAGAATGTACAGTCTCTGAGCAACCTGTCCCAGTGCTTCATTCCTCTCAGGGTGAACTTTTTTTCCCCTTATAACCAGTCTGAATTACCCTATCAGACAAAGAAAGAAGATGAGGATTTAAGGGGAGAAGAGGATTAACGCAAAGTTGAAAAGACAATACTGAATGGAAAGCTCAGTCTTCTTATACTGATACTGCATATATACAAGTAGCTGGAAAGAAACAGATGCAGAAGGTGTGTGCAGTGAGTGACAAGTGGGTAAGCTCCTGGTTAAGTAAAAAATAAGCAACAAACTCTGGTGTCAGCATATCAGACAACACTGATTTTATTGTCAGAGTAAAAACATATTCCTTACAGAAAACCAAACAAAAAAAACTAATGAATGTTACGATGCATGCCAAGCAATTATTGCTTTCCACAATGTGTCCTGTGACTCACTGTGCCACTGGCGTGTGGTGCTCATTCAGGGTATATCACTCACACATTTGCAATGGCTCTAAAGAGCTACTAGTTACTTGGGCTGTAGTTAATTTGGGGATTTGGGAGGTGGGTGCGGGGGAAGAGGGTAATTTCCCTATGGCAATGCAATAAAAGTCATGCTTATTATTGTATTATTATTATTTTCAAAATATAAAATAATGATTTTAGCAGCAGGCCAAGTACCATTAATCCTGAAGTCTCTTTTATTCTAGGAAAATCAATTCAGACAACCTCTGGCATGCAAATGCACATAAATAACTGGTAAATACTACCTGTGGTCTTCTGGGTCCAAATTTGCCTGATGCCAAGAGCAATCAATTCCTTTTTGGCTGCAAAGGATAGGAGGGCACTCAATACCTTGCAGAAGGCACTCAGCACCTGGCAAAAATCAAGCTTTCCATTTGCCAGCACCCCATGAAAGAGCAAACCCAGAAGTATGTATGACAGAAATGGTTCTCTTCTCTAACATGGGAAGGCGACCTCCTAGATGGACACAAAGGCAGTTCTCTTTAAGGTGTTGAATGCTCTCCCTGCCTGAGAAAGCTGTGTTTCCTATGCTTACTCCGCTTAAAAGGCAGCTCCAAGTTTCTTACTAAGGGAGGAAACAAAACTAACAAAGCATCTGTCTTTCAGTGAGTCTGCCCAAAAGCAGGAGTAGACTGGAAATCCAAGAAAGTTTTTACCATTAATGAGCCATCAGAGATGCTTAAAAGCAGGGTCTGTGCAGCAGCAGAAGAAAACTGTGTGCAGGAAAATTCTTCTTCCTTTATCAAGGCCACTCAAATGAGCCTGGGCTACAGCACGACCTGTGATTACCACAGAAAGAATATGGCTTCAGAGTGCTAATGCAGTTTCCCTTCACACTGAGAAAATTTAATGGAGGAAACAATCCTATATAGACAAGTTCTGTGTAACACTTGTATACACTTGTACAGTCCACTAAGGTGGTGCTATTCATTAGCAAGAGTGGAGCAGTAAGACCAGCAGCAGACCACTGGGATTTTGCCTACGCAGGACCTCAGATCTACAGCAGCAGTGCCACAGGTTTCAAGGTCAGCAGGACCGATCCCTGAACAAGGTGTCTGGCTCTGACCCTGTTTACACAAGGATACAGCAATAGCAATGCCGCTGGACTCAACAAAGCTGCGCTGGAGTAAATCAGTGGGGAATTAGATCCTGAATTTGTATGTCTTTGCAGCTAATTTGACAGGCGGTATTAAACAACATTAACATCTCAAAATGTGACTTGGAAGGAATAACATAAACAAACATCTCAACCTACAGCTCTATTGCTCCCTGATCCCCGAGGAGGCAATTATTCCCTCAGTAGTGTTCTGTACGGCCCAAAATACAATGATTGCCAGTACAAATATTGTGTTCCTGCTTTTTTTGTTTTATAAAATGTAATTTTGGACCGTCTGGCCTGGGGTGTTTTCTTCAGTGCTTAACTCAAGAGGTTCCAAACAGTGACTGGGGAATACAGCCATGACCTTAGCATGACTGGTGATGGTGAACAGTGGCTTGCTCTGCCTATTTCTTCACCTTGAACCTCCTGAACTGCTTAATTGTGGGGAAGACAGCTGAAACAGTGTCTGAGCAGTCTGCCAGCAACTGAACTGCGCCCTTTTATTGTTCTTCTGTAGATTCCTTGCTACTGCTCAGAAAATATTCTCTCTCTCTTCATAAATATTTTTATTTGCATGTTTGTTTGCATCTAGCTCACCTACCTTCCTCTAGGAATGTACTTGAGGAAGTGCTAAAGTACATAGAAAGTATGTAGAGCTCAGACTATTTTCCAATCAAAAGTCTTATTCATCTAGGCAGAAATGTCAATGTCTTCATTTCACCCAAGGAGATAAAAACAGCATTTAGGTAATAACCACCTTCTCCTCGACGCAAATTCCCTCCCTCCAGAGAAGGAAATGCTGCTTTTGGCCAGATCCCATACAGCAGTTCTTTTGTTGGTTAATTCATGACAGTGTTAGCAAGATTTTCATTATAGGCTATTATTTGTAGCTGCTGTTTTCATGAAGCAGCTGTAATAAACAAGTGAGATTTATGTTCCTTTTTAAATTGCTTGAAATAATTAGGGTTGTTAAATTTAGACTCTGAAAGAACCTACTGATTTCTCTATTTTTTTCATAGATACAGAAGCTACAAAGCGATCTACTGCTATCAGTCATGCTTGGGACAGAATCGCGTGCACTCCATACACCATCCAGAGCACATCCAAAATGTGTTTTAGATGAGGAAACATTTTAATGTTTCTCCAGCCTACGTTCAGAAAGGATTTCTTTTAGATCCTATTCTGCTCTATGCAGGTGCAGATAACCTCACTCTGGATCACTCTGGTAAGCTGAATGGAAAGTAGGACCAGAACTGAGACTCTGGCGCAGACCAGAGTTTTGCAGCTGACCTCCCAGCTTGATGATTGATAACTGCACCCAACTGTTATAAAAGCCCTGACCCATTTTGGGCATTCAAATACCAAACTTAGAGCTTGTGGTTTCCTCTCATCTCTGTATCGTTTACTTTTTCCACTCGTCCTCTCTCAACTACAACTTGCTGTGTTGACAGTCCAGAAGTTTATTTAAAATAAATGAACATGATGCCCTTCCCAACCCAATCTGGGCATTTCACAGCTACTGCTGAATCTCAGAGCCTGATCCAACCTCCTTCATGTCAGCACTAAAAAAATATATTCTAAAACTCTCACAGTGTTTTTTTTTTATTTATTTATTTTTTTGGTTGGTTGCTTTTGTCATCGACTGTATAGTTTTTTTCTTTGTGTAGATACCACCATCTCAGCAGTCAAGGTTTCCTCAGTGCAAGAAGAGACAAGATGAAAATACCAGGGTCCAGGACAGAATTTAGCTCTAATGGTTCTACAAGGGGGACAGATGTTCATGTGACTACAGCCTTAGAGGAGGTAAGGAACACATTATCTGTAATGTGGGATAGACCAGATTGTACCATGCATAGAAGGAATACAGCAACAATATACTAACTACATAACAAGAAAAGGCAAAACATGAAGAAAAGGAGAGAGCTAAGCCTGTCAGTTTTAACATTACAATTATAAATAGAGGAAAGAAAACTAGGGGAAAGTATGCAAATAAGAATGATGGAAGTGGGAAAGGAGTTTGGAGTAATATATAGAAAACAAATGTAATAGGTATCAAAATACAAAATTTTAAGTACTTCTTTGCTCTATATATGATAAAACAGCAACAAATTCTCTGTAAACGAAAAAATTCCAGGGCATTAAAATCATGTAGGCGTACTATCTTAAATCAGTCCTACATAATATCAGTAAGTGGCATGCAATGGGATGGGGATTTCCTGCTAAGAAGTATAAAGCCCTACATCTCAGGAGAGAAGTGACGTTGCCTGAGAACAGCAGGCTGCAAAGCTGTGAACCCAAGAAAGACCTAAAGGTGACTGCAGGTAAGACTAGCCACATAATTCAGTTTCTATGTGTTATGCTTCTGAGTGATGCAGGAAAGGGTCAAAAGCTAAGATATTTCTGGATGTGTACATATGAAGGGATGATATGGAAATCTAAAGCATAATGCTATGTCAAAACAACCACCGTGTGAGCTGTTCAGGTCTCCAGAGATTACTAAGAAGATAGAAAAATAAAGGAAATACAAATACGGACAATAAAAATGATCTAAGGAGAGAGTAAGAGAGATAAATTAATATAGTCTATAAATAAGAAAACTCCTGGGCTGAGATCCAGCTATAAATACCTCTAAGGTAGTATGTGTAGAGGCAGGTAATTAATCTAGCTCAAAAGATAGTAGGACAAGGAGTATTGCATAAATTTAGGGGTGGAAAAATTCAAGATGTATAGCAAGAAAAAGTTATTTGAAGAGACACATCTGCTCAACTGTGCAGACTCTGCAGGTGGTAGCCAAGGCACACTTACTGAATGCATCCAAGAACTGGCTGAATAAGTGGCTCTGGAAATGATGCAGTCACAGCCTTCTATAGTCCAAAGAGATCACCACAGACACACTTACTGATCTGTTAGTCTCTTTCTTTATGGGTAATCTGAAAGACTGCTTATCTATTTAAAAGAAAACAAAAACAAAACACCAACACCACAAAATAAAACAAGAACAAAAGCGAGTCTATAGATCCATGCAGTGACAATAGACCTGCAGCAGAGCTCAGAACTGGGGATGGGCAGCACAGGTAACAGCAAACCTCTATAACTCTCTCCTGGCCATTCAGCCGTGTATGCAGCGTCATGCTGCTGGGCAGGACAGTGTCAGCAGGGCAAAAACTGCTGACCCAACTGGCAGAATATTCTGAGTATCTCAACACCGAGGTCAAAGGCTGAACCGGGAACTACCTCTTCTGATACTCATGGCCCTTTGGTAAGAGATCCTGCACGGAAGTTGCTGCATAAATTACATACTTTGCTTCATGGTTAGCTGGAAACCAACACTAGCAGCATATATCAATTCTCAGGAGCTCTAAAATACACTTGTATTAAGAAATTAAAATTAAAAAAAAAAAAAGCAAATAAACAAACAAAAAAAAAACATTTGCAACAAGCCTTAGAATGTTCATTGACAAATGGGTATACACATGTGAGGAATATAAAACCCAAGTACGATATACCCCCCCTTAAAAATAACCCATCCCAACTGCACTCACCAATCGGGACTTCTGTCCCCTCCTCAATGTAGATGGGCAGTGGTGATTCCTCCATAGGATGAGGCACTGATGGAAAGTAATGAATTGTGGTAGTATTTGTCGCAAAGTGACTACAATAAGATGGTCCCTCTCTTATCATTAAACTACATAAGGCTGGTTATTGTCACAAAGAGTCCTTTCTCACAGCGGCCACCTCCTGTCACGGTGCCCAGTCCAATGTGCAGGCCCAGGGGGTTAATCCCCACCGAGCATTCGCCACCTCAGCGGGCAGAGGCCAGGGTTCCTGTCCTGGTGCCTCAGGATCCTGCCACCTCGCAACAGCCTCACTAGCCCCGTCCCTGGAGCTTAACTCTTGGAAACCCACACA